CGACATAATACCGGTACGAGTACTACGCATAGCGTTTGAGCGTTGCCGGAGTCTCGACACTCGAGCAGGCTTCGGGACTTAGTCTACATTACCAATAGTTTGCCGCGACCAGAATAACTTGAATAATTGGAGCGTGTGCTACTCCAAACCCCCCTTCTCTGGAAAGGGGCTGGAAAAAAATAGACCTTACCAAGAGAGGAAAGTCCAACGACATAGCACACCGCCCGATTTTTCAAGTTATTGCGGTTCCTGAATCCGGAATTTAGCACCGCTCCTACATTCCTGCTGCTATCATTCTCACCAGAAAGTGAACATCTTTGCCAGATATAAAACGGCGGTTAAGAGACTCGCAACCGAACGACCTTCTCAAAAACGACCACAATTGTATGGAATTAATACACAAGCAAAAAAAAAAAGGCCGTATCCCGGTCGAATGCGATAACTGCCGTGTTCACAAAAGTCGCTCAATTACGAGTAAGTTATTGTAGGGGTGCTGGTACCCGCACTGGGGGGCAATCTCAACAACTATGATACCCGGCTCGGCAATGGTCATGCTTCCGACCCACCCCTGTTCCCGGTCAGATGGAAGCAAGTCAATGCAGCCTCCCCTCGGGAATTCACTACTGTCCCCCCGCAACAGCGTGGAATTGGTTTTGCTAGTGACACCCGTTCACAGATCAGTTGGTGACGAGTGATGTCACGTCGGGTAACGTTTTCTCTAGCGCTATCAGGGATCAGAAAAACTTCGTCGTGCAAATGGTCCCTTGGCAGGAAAATTCAGACATTCGCAATCATGATGCCTTATCTGTCACGAATCCGCAGCCATTCCGGACGGAATTTCTGTAGTTACCTAAACAGGCTCCTGCACCCGCTGACCAAAGGAGAGACAGAAAAGAAAAATCCCAACAGGGAGCGAGATTTGTTAATATATTTTCTCTTTTATCCCCTCACCTCTCTTTCCTTTCTCAGCCACCATTTTATTTTGGAGGATACTCAAGACTCATTAAGGGTAACCCCTTACGATACCGTTGGGTATATCTCTGGTTAGACCTTGATATCCCGCACCAACGTAACTGCGAAAGAATGCAGGTCCCCGAACCCGCATCACAGTGCTGTACTAATTGTTAATACTAGAGTTGATAAAATGGAGGGAGTGGTCATTCGATCCGAGTGGGGAAATGAACAAACCGAGAGTATTGGGGAAAAGAATTATGCTAAAAAAAACCCGCCCCACAATAAGATTAACCACCAATAACTTAGCGTCCAAGTTTAGGCTATCTTTATTCGGAGTGCCTGATATTACAGTACGAACGCTCACGATCTTGATGCACTCACGTCTCCGGATTGGACTGGCATTTTTGTTGGCATGTCACCGCCAAAAATGGAGCGACATCCTTCAGGCAGCTTGAGCAAAACAGAGTACAATGATTGAATTTTGATCTAAATACCGAACACACCATGGCAATGCTCGGACCATTGGAATAGAAAGGGATAATTTCCACCAGCGCTGCTCGCTGTATACAGAAAGGTTGATAAGAGGGCAATAAAAATTGGGAGAAGCACGCTCTAGTAAACCAAGTACCAAGTTACTCTAAGCTCCGTTGAGATTCCTCTCCATACAGCACTTTTAAAGTGAGAACATGTCGGAACACAAATGCCAAAAACCTGATACAGTTTTCCCCTCTCCTCCTAATTTCTAAATCCCTGATATGGTTAGGTAGAGATACACTACGTTGATAATCGTAGCAACACTAGGTTTCCGCCGTCCGTTGCATACCAAAGTGCAACTCCGCAGGGAAACATTTTTCGTTCAAAGTCGTACAATTCATACACCTACCGATGATCCACAGTGATTAGAAATTCCTTGAATAAAAATTATTCATACGCTCCATGTTCCTAAACACGCTGTTAGTATAATTGCCTACATCTTGTTAACGTGTTTAATAATGCTGTTGAGCATTATAGGGAGAGGGCTATCGTTCCGGGCTTTAGCTTTGAGCCAAAGATTGGCTACCCGGTACAAATTTTCGGCTACCCCCGTTACTCGAGTGACGCACAAGATCGCGCGACTACGAGAAAAACGGGCCGAAAAGTTATCACACTTTCCCGAATCCCTGGGGGGGGGGGGGGGTTAATCTACCCGCATGCTACCGGCAGTTCTAAAGGGCTTACCCATCTGCCGACACCCCGTCACCCTCTTCACCTACATCTTATCGGGCCCCCGCCAGTGACACCCCTACGTCACTTATCCGATCCCCACCCCAAGCAACACTCTCGAATACCGATGAGTAGTGTGCGGCAATGTCTTAACTGGGCTAGTTGCAGACGTTAGAATGCAGGACGGACGGCTTTGTGCCTTCTTTCTGTGGGGAACCCTTTATTTATAATATCGGATATCGGCGGGTGGTGTGTTGCACGGGGCTACAGCTAATGCTGATCGCCGGATATGGTGCATGTTCTATCTCTAAAGGGATGGGTGGGATTGTGCAAATGATAAGTGGTGGAACGGTATTGTGGGCATTGACCTTCTGAATAACTACATTTGTTATGTTACTAAACTCTAGTCTAGGTTTGGAGATATTTGACGGGTGTTTTTGGTATTCTTGTGCTGGAAATTGAATTGGAGATGATGCGGCGTATGGTGTTGTTTCGTAAATTTATCCCACTGCATATGTTTCTTTCTCCCACCCACCACTCCCCCCGAAGGAACAGAAACTAGGGCTGTGAATGTATGCGCACGGGGACGCCCAGGGAGGGAATTACCCGAGGAGAGTAGGATTTTGGGCTCTGGGTGGTACGATAGTCGCCAAGGCGAAACCGGTGATTCTATAGGAGTGAGCCGATTGGGAGATTCGGGCGGGACAAAGTCGGGTCACTCGCATCTCTCCACATCACCTACCATTACTCCCCCGCAAGCAGCCCCAAGGCCCCACATCATGGCTTTCTCGCCCCTGCCACTGCTTGTGGATATTACTTAGGAGTTGCATGGATCCAAATTGTTGCGATGCCCCTTTGAGGTTGGGTATGATGGAGGCAGATCAACTTCGGCGAGACCTGTAGAACATTGGCAAATATCTACGGCAAGAACAGGAATACCGTAATTGAGAATCCCGTAAGGACGTTGGACTCGCCTCTCCTATCATGGCCTGTTGCCTTAGCCGAGGACTGAAGTGGGTCCTTCTAGTGTGTTTCTATTCGATCTAAGTAGTTCAATCGGGATCAGTCAAAAAGAAGTTATCGTTCTGTATTTTGCTGTTGTTCAAATAAAAAACAAGAGAAAACCAGAGCGGAGTAGAATAAGTAGAAAGCAAACAATGACCATTATTCCTCCTTTAGGCATCGCAAGTATATGTACTGGAATGTATACGTAATCCCTACCATCGACGTTCATCCACAGAGTCAGGCGACCCATCCAGTACGTTGCCTCGGGTATAGAATCCATCATGTATCCTTCCGTTCCCACACTCCCGATTCTATTTTTGAATGCCTCTTGATATTTCCGGACAATTTCCCTCCTTAACCCAAAGGGAGAAATTCTATATTTCCTGGCCATTCTCAATTATCCCACTTACGGTATTCCAAACAATAAAGGCATCCCTAAAGGGATCCGGCCAGAACGGATCGAGCTATGGGATGTTGTAAAATGGACTTCCTCCCCAGACCATGAAAATATCACAAGCCCGAGCACCGGCAATGCTAAGAATGGATAATAGGAATGCAGATAGTACCCACTTACCATAACACCCCAGCCCATCAGGATTGCCGCAACAGCTCTACCTCCTTGGTATGTACTAAAGGTGCTGATACCCGATAGAAGATCGATGAACAGTTAACTTAGCTTAACCCACGAAATAATCCTTGCCTTGCATCCCCGAGTTCTTACACTATAAGCGGGTACGGGCGGGTTTTCCGCGGATGAACTAGTTAATATACTCCCAGTATATATGTATTCAATCCCCGTTCAATTCCGGGTGGATAAAGAACTGCGGGTGCCCACAACTTTCACCTCTGCTACAGAGGAAGCTTTTCATTTTACTTTGCTCCACTCGGCTTACTCATAATAGATACTGGTCCAGACTCCGCGCCGCTGCAATTATGGCCTCAAACACCAGTTCGACATCCTCAGCCCCGCCGAGGTACAGCGAGGTAGTATGTGTGGGAGCAGGCCTGTCTGCTATATCCCTTGGAGCGCAATTGCAGATTCAATACAACTTAACCGACTTTCACATCTACGAGAAGAACGAGGGGATAGGAGGGACCTGGTGGGCTAATACATACCCAGGCATTTCCCAATTGTCACATCAGAATAAAGAGCATAGCTAACAGTCCAGGAAGGTGCCGCCTGCGACGTCCCAAGCGCACTGTACTGTCTCTCCTTCGCACCAAACCCAGACTGGACCTGCTCGCTACCGCCCCAAGGTGAAATAAAAGAGTACATTGACAGCGTCGCGTCAAAATACGGAATACCCCAGCGAACCAGTTTGTCCACGGCCGTGACAAGAGCCCAATGGGATGAAGGCCACGGCCGCTGGCGCCTCTCGCTGCGGGACCTGAAAACAGGCGAGGCGTATTTCCACGAATGCAAGATCCTGTTCACGGGGCAGGGGTTGCTGGAGGAGCCCAACTACCCAAAGATCCCCGGTCTCGAGACTTTCGAAGGACACATATTCCACTCCGCCCGCTGGGACCACACCGTAGACCTGAAAGGCAAGCGAGTGGCTGTTATTGGGGGCGGGTGCTCGGCCACACAAATAGTAGCCGCCATTGCTCCAGAAGTCGAGGTTGTCAAGCAATTTATCAGAACTCCGCATTGGATTCTAAACCTACCGGTGCTCAAGTACACCGCATTTAACAGGTGGATCTACAGGAATGTGCCGTTGGCATATAAATTTCATAGGCTTCTAGTGTTTGCTCTGCTAGAGTGGGATTTCCGCCTTTTTCCACAGTCCCGGTTCGCACAGGGGCAGCGTGATCGTGCGCGTGAATATGCGATAAAGTGCATGCATGAGAAGGCGCCCGAGAAATATCACGAGCTTTTACTCCCGGATTACGAGGTTGCTTGCAAGGTATCTACTGGCTCCGCTGCTCTCCCAACTCTTGTCCAAAGCGGAGGGTTACTCATGGTTACCATAGCGACGTGTTATAGATTCTGGCTACTTGGCCTCCCTCAATCGGCAAAACGTGCAAGTCCACAAAGAGAGGGCCATCGAGATCGCCCCACACGGCATCAAAGCCAGTGATGGAATCCACGATGTAGATGTGATAGTCCTAGCAACGGGCTTTCAAACGTCGGGGAAGTTCTTCAAAGGCATGGAAGTCCTCGGCCGAAACGGTGTCTCGGCGGACAAGCATTGGGATGGGATCGGGGGGGTCGGTGCATACAATACCACAGCCATGCACGACTTTCCAAACTTTTTCATGTTGTTGGGGCCGAATAGCGTCACCGGGCATTCTTCAGCCATTATGGCGATTGAGAAGTATTACCTACTGTTTGTTTGCTTGCGGAGGGGGGGGGGCGCAGGACTAACGAGATTAATATTGTAGTGTGGTAGACTACGCCCTCAGGGTACTAAAGCCCGTACTTAGAGGCGATGCATCACGCGTAGAAGTGAAGGAGAGGTCGGAGAAGGAATACATAAACTGGATTCAAGCGGCTCTCCGTGAGACCGTGTGGAACACCGGCTGTGCATCTGTAACCACTCACTTTCCTCTGGTATCGACTAAGACTAACCAGGCGTAAAAGTGGTACACTTCAAACGGTTGGAACGCGCAGGCATATCCGTTTTCACAATTACACTTCTACTACCGGTCACTCTTTGTAATAGCCAAGGATTGGGACGTTACCGTAACCCCCCCTCTTCCTCCTGACATCCCGCAACACATCAATTGACGAAAGCATAGCATACCAAAAGGGCCCCCCAATTGCGGAAGCCCCTGGCCACCAGTTTCCTTGTCGGGGTCTGCATTGGGGTGCTAACTGCACACTTCATCCAGGTCTGGGCTCCCGTGCTGGATAAGTACATACTCTGGCAGGGCATCTCATCCTCGTGGGGGATTTGGCTAGAGGAGGTTACGGCGCATTTGAAGGGCATGACTACATAGGATTTTGTTCCCCGCCTACGGCCGGGGTTTAATACTGCGGGGGTGAGGGGCGAAGAGCCGCGGCTCGAACGTAGGGGTTACCCCAAAGGTTTTTGCTTTCCCTCCTGGATCTAGCTTTGGTAGTAGAAACGTCTTTTGCTTCTTCGATTTCGGTCGCTTTTTTTACTCCGTTCTTTTTTTTCTTGATGGGCTTAATCGGCGGTTAGTCTACTTCCTACCGTACAGTTATTGTACAGTATTATACTAGTACCGCGAGATAAGGCGACGACAAATAAAGTTAGACGACTGACGACTGTGTACGAGCAATGTGACACATGATGTAGGCCTAAAAGATGATGAAACTGAACCCAATAGAGAGATAGGCGGAAAACCATATCCACTCAAGCATCAGTCCGTTGGTTGGGTGGTGGTTACGCTCGGCTCTAACTAAGAAGGGAAGGAATAAGTCTATATAGGAAATCAAGCGTGCCAAGACCTCACAAACAGGAGATTCTATACTGTAAGGTGAAAAGCCATACCAAACACGGCCACAAGCAACCAAACACATGCCTCCCTTGCCATTGCGCTGTTCGAGTATGGTGTCCGCGTAGGTTAACATGAGCTTCGCACGCACGGATGAACCAGACGGAGTCTCTCAGCCGCATAGTGTGAGGAAACACTACTTCCACCCAAACAACCATGGAAACCCGTAGAATTACTCCATGTGCTATGTCGTCGGAGTTGCCTCCTCTGGTAAGGTCGTTTCCGCCCTTTGGCCTCATAGAGGAGGCTCACCAGATCGCCTTTTGGTGTCTACTTAGGCCCTTTTCCAGGGTGGGAAATTTTCGACTACCCGAGCATAACCTTGGCACGGTAGCACATGCACCATTGTTGTAATTTCTGCGGCACTGGTGCGCTACAGGTAGTGGACCCACCCCTTGCCGGAGTAGACTAAAAGTAGCTCTCCCGCCAGCCTTACTACCGCAGACTAGCTTTTTATAGGGGTCAGAGATTAAGAGTCGGCACAGAGCAGGAATGTTTATCGGAAATCGATGGTAACTTAGGCAGGAAATAGTGTAATTTTCCTGGTATAGTGGAATTTAACTAGGCGAGGCAAGGTGCACCTCATTCACCAATTATACCTGCTCTAAGTTGACCGAAGAGGAGATAGAGATTCTCTCAGGATCGTGTTTCTCGGGTGTACTGTATAGTACTATGCTCGAATGTTTCACAGCTGCTACAATACTGATGTTTTGTTAATGCACCGTACCGTACCATTACTTTAGGCCTGAGGCTATGCTGTAAAATGTTCAACTCACCCTGGCTAACTCATTCTAAACCCGGAGCCTAAAAGGATGAACCCTCAGTACTTATGCGGTGAACATATGTGAAACGAATTACCATAAGGTTTACCCGTTCCAAATTTGTGACTGTGGCCATGGAAAGGGGAAATCTTGTCCTCTTTATGTGAGCGGGGGAGAAAAGAAACTCTGGCGAAAGCAAATAAGCCCGGCCGCGGGGACTCCGTGTTGTTCTGCCACCCTCTCTGGGCAAATGACCCGGGGGACGACGAAGATAGGCTCACCTCGCTTTCCCTCAACACTGTGGATTGTACTTCTGTTTCACCGTGATAAGGCCTTTAGTGCGGGACGAGGAAAATCGGGCATGGCGAATACGGGATTCGGGGGGCAGAAATTGAATTTCGTCGAGGTATTATATCAGAGGTGAAGATGAGATGCGGGTCGGCGACCCCGGTTCGTCACCAAGCCTCTTCTCGTTGCCCCGGTACTTGCGCGGCGGTGCTAAAGTCGGAGACCTAAGGTGGCAACTCCTATTCAACGTGTTCCGACCTCGATTCGGCCGCTCGAGTAGAACATATCCGAGAGAAAACCTCTAGGCGTGAAGTGCACTCGGGGGGACAGAGTCTAACGTTCGCACAATTTCTTATAGTGCGCTACTCCGGAGAAGAAAGCACAGTACTGTGGGGCAGTGTACCGGTACTCATACAGGGACAGTACCCGCCAATAAAATAGGCACCACAAACATTCCTCGGCTAATCGGGCTCCGGGGACTCGCCAATCCTCAGGACTTGGGGCCCGCGATGCCGGAATAGATTGTAGGTTTCCACCCCGTATTTAATTTATACACCTGTTCTCACCACTGCAACCACCAAGGAAAGAATGGGTTTCAAAAAACCTTACCGGGGAAGTCTCCTCCAGAACACAGGGCGCCACCGGGTCGGTGGGTTTTAGGCCGTCCGTGAAGAGGCATATGGACCAATTGCGCCTTCCCGTGTTCCGCACAGCGCTTGTGGCCTAACTTAAGGAACCAGTATGCCATTACCTTCCCAGGCGAAGGAACCCAAAACACAAGATTGCCGCGGCTCGCACTGTGATGCAAGGCGGATTTAATAAATTGCAAGGGGGGGCGGAGAGATTTCTAGTCAAGGATTGATACCCAGACCCTACCTTTGATGGAAGCCTTAATTTGGAGTCTAAGGCTCTAAATAGCATTTTATGGACTCAGAACGCTTCATATTATGAATGACCTTCCAGAGGGGCTGTAAAGGTAGCTGTGTTCTGAATGCTTATCTTAGGAAAATTACCTCACTAACGCTCCTTCCCTACCTCCAGTTCATAATACCGGCATTCAGAGGTGGGGAAGTGTGCTTTTCTATTACGATGAAAAATTGCTGGCAATCACCCGGAACCATTTTGAATCGCACCGTTGCCGATTTTCTCCGCCATTCCGAGTCGAATACTGGTAGCCCAGCATCATGCCTCGATTGGTATGAATATCAACAATTATTCCCACCGTTCATATTCGGACTCCGGTGCAGAAGGGAAGGTTTAGAGAGTCTTCCTCACTGCCCTCCTTGCCCTAGTTCCAATAACCTAACTTGCTTTCAGCGCGCGGCCCTGGCGTGCACGGGCATTTAATACCTCCTTTACTTGGTCGTTAAGTTAGTACACACAATTATCATTGACTTGTCATGATGATCTAGCTAGTTCGGGTCGTATGCCTTATTCCCAAAGTGTATTGGAGAATACTATACCTACACAGCATATGTACCCCTTCCGGACAGGGTCTCGCGAGGTCTAGGTATCAATTGCAGTAAAATCAGACCTCTCTCCATCTCTACTGCATGTCAGAAACAGGATACCTCACCTTGTCTCACTCAGCTCCCCTATGAGGCCCAATAATGTCCCCCGGGAGGTGGGGCCACTCAATGGGCGTTATCCGGTCTGCTCTATATAATCTCCAACTTCCGCATGCTTGAAGAGTACCGCCCCATACCTCTTTACATCCTACCTCAAATCTCTCGCTACAATTGCCGACAACATTCGCCGCACGGACATGACTCCGCAAATAGCGTTCAATGATCTACCCTCGAATGTCGATCCAATTGGTGGGTTAGGTAGCCAACACAGCACGGTATCTAGCAGGTCGAAAGCCATAGCCAACCGAAGGCTTGCGATCCTCCAATGGATATCCCCTTCAGTTCCTTGGCAAAGACATGAGGATATCAGCAGTGGCAGGGTGGATGGGGTGGGACAGTGGTTACTCCAAACCGCTGAGTGTTCGAAATGGCGGTATGGAGAGGACGACGTTACCAATCAAGTGTTGTTTTGCTATGGGGATGCCGGGGTTGGCAAGACCTACCTCCAGTACAAGAATCCCGGCTCCATTCAGAAAGGAGGACTTCTAAAGCTAATTAGAAAACGCCATTAGCTCTCTTTTAGTAGACACTCTCTGCAATGCGATCTGTGACGGAAATGAGATCGTCTCCGGTGTTTACTGTGATTTCTACACCCACGGGGGCCAAGCGATCGTCCACCTGTTAGGTTTGCTTCTTAAGCAAATTTTGTCGAAAATGGAGAGAATCCCCACGGAAATACATGAGTCGTTTGGCCGGGCCAAAGGAAGGCTAGACGGCGGAATTTCTCGACTACCTGAAATTCTCCATCTACTCACCTCCACACTTTCCTCCGTTCCCCGGGCATATATATGCATAGATGCTCTGGACGAATTTCCAGCAGAGCATCGACCGGAGCTTTTAAGTGCCCTGGCGAGAGTAGTTGATGATCTACCCAGCGCTCGATTATTTATCACCGGAAGGCCCGATATACGGGGTGAGGTGGAGAGGTGTTTCGCCGGAGGTGTAGTTGCGAAACATATAGAACTTCCGAGGGGCGATATCGAAAGATATCTCGGGGTGAGGCTAGCGCAGGATAAGGATCCTGAAGCCATGGATGAGGATTTGGAAGTGGATATTATCCAGAATGTTCTAAAGACTACCTCCGAGAAGTATGTGCTAAAAACTGAGGTCCCCCTGACAATAGCTGACTATAGTGACTAGTTTTCTTCTCGTCTCCTTCAAGGTTGACGCGATTTTAGCACGGAAAACGATCGCCAACAGAAGAGAATCGGTGGGGGAAATGTCTAATTGCTGGTGTGCGGGGGATGTGTACTCTGCAGTATTGGATCGGGCCATGGTGCTGTGCGAGCAGTCAAAAACTATCGTGAGGGAAGTGCTTTTATGGGTATCGCACTCCGAGCGCCCTCTAAAAGTGCAGGAACTGCATCATGTCTTACAGAGCGAGTTGGAAACTAGGGGGTTTTACCCTAAGGTGAATTGCTTGACTAGCTTGGTGTTGGGATATTGCCAAGGACTTCTCACGCTCGATGAGAAGGCGTCAACCCTCCGGTTGAGACATTTCACTTTACGAAGCTACCTTTGCAATCACCTTGCCATGTTTGATAGGCCACACTCGAAAATTGCGGGGGTCTGTCTAACCTATCTGAATTCGAACTCTGGGTACAGCAAGCGCAAACCTGGAGATCCCCTGTTGGGCCAATATGCTTCATCGTACTGGGTAACCCATGCCCGGCGGCAGGCTACTACATCTGTTCAATCCCTCGCCCTCAAACTTCTCACCTGTTATCGAGAGTCAGCTGGATGCTATGTAGATCTGTTGAGAGAGAAGGGAGTCTGGCCGGAGCTCTCCGCCCCAACGAGCTATGGTACCAATTTCACTGCCCTGCACTATGTAGCGGTCCTTGGACTTCATGATTTCGCCGGCCGTTGGCTATGCGGCCAATTCACGAAAGAGGAACTGAATGGGACCGACTCCTACGGCAGCACGCCACTCGTCTGGGCTTCAAGATACGGGAACGAAGGGGTTGTGAATTTGCTCCTCCAGATGGGCCCCATAAAACCGGATTTAGCGGACACCCTATTTCGCAGAACACCGCTATCTTGGGCGGCTGAGAGAGGACACGAGCGCATCGTTCAATTACTCCTTGCACAAGACAGTGTAGACCCTAACGCGGAGTGCAATCGGGGTCGAACCCCGCTCTTTTGGGCCCTTAGATGTCGGCAGGAGCGTATAGTCATGCTCCTTCTGGAAAATGCGGAGGTAGATCCGAACAGAGAAGACGGTATTCGTAAAATGACACCACTATACTTGGCCCTCAACAGTGGCCATAGGGTCATTACAAAACTTCTTCTCCACAATAAAAAGGTAAACCCTAACATACCCGAAGATTACACACCCCTGCATTGGGCCGCCAAACACGGGGATAGGGCCGCCGTAAAACTCCTGCTTGAACGAGGAGATATCAAGCCCGACTCGGTCAACAAATATTGCCAAACACCGCTCGCACTCGCTGCCCGGTATGGACATGAGGCTATCGTAAAGCTACTCCTAGAAAGGGGTGATGTCGACCGCAACGCGCTAGACGACAACAGCGCAACACCGCTCATCATCGCCGTCGCCCGCAATCAAAGAGACGTTGCGGAGCAGCTTCTAGGAGCGGGTGGTGTCGACCCAAACCAGAGAGATGCTAAAGGGAGAACATCCCTTCATTGGGGTGCCAGCACTGGAAACGAGCCGATTGTGAAGCTGTTGCTAAAACAGCAGAACGCCGACCCGAACTCAACAGACATCTTTGGCCAAACACCGCTTTCTCGCGCGGCGCAGAGCGGCCACGGGGGTGTGGTGAAGATCCTCCTGGGAGCAAAAGGCATTAATCCTTGCCTTCCAGATAACGGGGGGAGAACGCCACTTGAGTGGGCTCAGCTGCGGATGTATAAAAACGTGGTGAGGTTGCTGCAAGAGCACTAAGGCGTTTCATGCTGTCGCGGGTGGAATTTTTCGGATACCCTGGAGATACAAAATAGAAGGAGCAACAAAATCTACCCAATCCCCAAGAACACCTGAAATGCCAGTCTAAGATAACTAGGGCAAGCAATTCCCAACCCTAGAGAGAATAGACGACAAATCAAGAACCTAAATCACTAGCCAACTTAGATCAGCCCAGATGGGGGCCACATTCCTACGGACGACCCACCTTGGGCCGCCACCCAACAACGCCCAATCGCCTGCCCCCGCCAACCAAGCCTTCCGAGCCACCAGCCATGGCCTTCCTAGACGGATCGAGGGTCCTCCAATGGTAAAATGACTGTATACAATGCTTCCCCGAATAAGAATCTCCATACCCGCTCCAACTCCCTTCCCAAACCTCCGATACCCACCCTACCCCTTTACGCCCCCCTCCACTCTCCCCTCCGATGCTAGCACAGCAGCCTTGGGTCACTATACGTGCTTCCGCAGCAACGTACATCACACTACCAACACTCCAGGTCCTTGAAATCTTAAAGCCAATCTCCTCGGGGGTCTCCCACGGATACAAAAGTGAAGATACTAACTAGACCAGAATCGCTTTCATTCTGCGCGCATGATATACCGCCCAATGAAGATATTCACGCCTGCTCAGAGGCGGTGGGAGTCATTGGGGGAGTATGATATTCAGGAATGAGTGCACCTCTATCACGTGGCGTCGGAGAGGTAACAACTGAATTGGTGGTTAGTTTGGACGTGACCCCCCAGGGAATCCTACCTGTACAAGTATGACTGATCTTATTTCTGTTGTGTCTGATGCATGTTTTGCCAACATCTCCCGCTTGATCAAATTTCCCCACGAAATATTTGTCTGTTCATGTGTATATATATGCGCTCTTCTCGATATTGTACGCTGCTGTCCGTAGTTATTCAAACGGGAAATTCGCCGGAAGTTTACCTTACCTAATTTTCCTCATAGGCATTATGCACCCCGCGTGGAAGAAGTAGGCTAGGTCAATCGAGTGGTGATAGTCGAGTGCGAGGTTCCTAGTGATTCCCTTCCATTGGATATTCGAGCTGTTTCCAGTCACCACTCCACGTACTACCTCACGCGAGGCACACGTGCTTACCACCGCAAGAGAGGTAGAACTCGTCCTCTTCAGAGATCCTCCGCGTTCGTTTCCGTGATGGGATGGGAATTATTCATGTACTGAGGGCGGTGAGTTGATGGAAGTCTATGTCAATTTTAGAACAGGCGTTTAAGAGGGGGATACCACTATATGAGGGCCTGTATCACACAGAGCTACATTCGTAAAAGTTCTCACACACTTCCGGGGAACCCAAGCCCTTGGAAACGCTTTGCCATTTCTGTAAAATAAGTTGTGATGCTAGACTACGTTAAATACCCCCCCCCCCCCCGTGACATATCCGAAAACGGTCAAACCAGAAAGCTCCTGCCCTTGTCTTGCTGCTGATAATTTTAGCTCTTGAGGTACGGGAGAGGTTGTGAGAACTTTACCAATGTAACCGTACGACTACTTCACCACACAAGTGCATCTTTCCCGCGGTAGCTATAACTATTCGTCGGGTCGGCTGGTCGGGATGATCTTCGTCGCGGCGGCTGGTGGGTTAGGGCTATATGGGGGACTTGACTCGGGAAGTCCTAACAAAGATGCGTGGAGTGGCAGTCTGGTCTAACCCAATGAACTTGAAAAGCCAGGATTATCCAAGATATGATACCATACATCCGCTACTGCCCGCAAGAAAAAATAACAGACAAACCGCCACGGTGCCCGCGTGAGTGTTTACATTACTTCTTACACTTTCCTGGGCACTTACAGGGGCAGGACCAATTATTCAAGAGTGGAACAGCGTTCGCCATAATTGACTGATGTTTCGGGGGTCTTTGGAGGGGGAGAAATGTGGTATTGGTGATGCTTTAGGCCCTGGATAGGAGTGAGTGACGGGTCGGGGTGGATATGGGAGTGTTAGTATTAAGTCTACTCGTTAAATTGTTGGTAAAACTCCAGTCCCCCATAGGAGTCTTTGTAAAGATACTATTCTTGTAGCATTCAGGACAATAAATGTGATGACTCTTCCCAATATCTTTCCTCTTTCCAACACCACTTCATCCATCCATCTATCCGGAGAAGAGCTCTTATCATACCTCAGCCGTGTTTCGTAGGGACCAGCACAATAAAAACCGCCATAGTGCCGAAAAAAAGAATTCGAGGCACCAGGTCATGCGGAAATCAACCCACTGTTTTATGAGCAAATGATACGAGTAGGACCTCGCTCCCCGCTAGTATTGAAGAAGGATGGGGCCATCCCTGACCCAGGAGCATGGAATAGATTATTATCATTCCTGCTTCCCAAAAACCATTAAACTTGGTCAACACTTTCTTTCATCCGTGTTCCCCCTACCCTTCTCCATCCAGGGAATTTACTGGAGCAAAGTTCCCTAGCGCCATAGTTGTGGCTTTTCTTTCGCGTTTCTTCACTAGATGGTTAGTTGGAGTACAGCTGGCGTGCATGACGGGGAAAGGTGTTTTTAAATCGTGCGCTTGAAATGTTCACCCTCCTGGGTACTTGATCAGGTCCAGGCGGCTCTGGGAGTGAGAAATGTGGCCGGGCGGGTGTTGCCCGGAGCAAGCGGTGGACAGGTAGGGTGCATATGAGAGCCGCTATGCATGTGGCCCTGGGATAAGAAACTGGCGGTATTAGCTGCACGATACACCGTCCGGAGTCGTGTTCTCTCTGATTAGACAAGAATATCGGGTCATGAAATATCGCTCGGCCAATTTCAGCGTTGTGTGTTGGAAATTGTGGTTGAATTGATGAGGGTTTTACGGAACCGAAGCGAGTAAGTGCTCAAGGAGAGAAAAGTATTTTGCTTGTATACAGAGAGTGGAGTCAAGAGAAAGAAAAGAAGGTGGTAGGTTTGTTGACTGTGTAGAGTAGAGGAAACAGCAAGCGAGGGACAGAAGGAATTGGGTGTGTTGGTTGGTCAGGTAAGAGAAGAAAAATAACATGAGAAAACAAAGTTCAGGGAGCAACGCACAACAAGGACATGAAAGATGTGTAAGCACTTACATATGCACATGAGTGCTTATGGCTCGTATATGAAATCATGCTCATGTTTTCAACATTGTGTAAGATAGACGCAGAAGCGCCCAGAGAGTGCGAACAGACTCTAAAGTGATCTTCGTTAGATCCAGCCGGAAGGGGGGGGGGGGGGTATGGTATTATTATCAGGGGAGTACCAAAGATTCGGGTACTCTTTGGTGAGTCTGATGGTGCAGAATGGTGCTGTGCCGCATCCCCGTTCTCGGGACGGTCCAGTCATGGGTAATATCAGGTCCAATGCAATGAGTACCACTCTATCTCGTTTCTCCTGCATGGGTGATATCGCGTCACAGATTTGTCAAGCCCAATTCTCCCGACCTCGCTTTTGCCCTGCCATGCAGGAGGATTAGGATAGGGCTCATAGACATGAAAATACGAACAAAAATCTCTCCTACCGAGCACGATGAACACGGTGCTTCACAAGTTGTGTTGGGACAACCCGCCTCGTGGGGTAAAACGCCGTAAATAACGCTCCTATCACCCAAATGCACCGGTATCGGTATTCTCTGGAGTCTGCTGTCTCGGTCGAAAGGCACCAGCAGGAGAGCTCCCAGTCGCACACACAATCAAGGACCGACTATTTTTAGGTAAGAGTATGATACTCAAATGCTGTAGCGTAGGTTACTATTGGAAGCTGGCCTTTTTCGATTGGGAGCCGCTGTTTGAAACATAAATTCAATTCGGCGGTAGTCTCCCTATAGGTGTTGAATTTAGTTTTGTTCTTGTTTTTCTTGGGGGGTTTTTTTTATCTGCCCGCTGGATCCTCCTACCCACAGTAATTGTTCTAATCCAGGGTGAACTTGTCGATACCGTCCTTACAATATGCGCCGAGAATTATAGAAAATGCATTCCTACCGGACTAAGGCTTCCGATGTGTTGGGGCCTCGTTGGGTACTCGTGCCAAGGTTGCAGCTAGGGCGCTGCAACCCCCGAAAATTCGCTGGCTCAGTTTTCGGGGGCACTCATCCTGAGTGCCCGACAGCTCAACGTCAATTTGCAGCTCAACGTCAATTTGTGGCTCAATACAATTTTGTAGCTCAAGTCACACTGTGGCTTAATGTCACTTTGTGGCTTAACCTTAATTTGTGACTCAACACAATTTCACTGGTAGTACTTACTTCTAGCTTCAAGATTAAATTAAGGTTATGTGTATTTTAATAGAGTATAATATAAGTTTTATTATAATTTTTATATACATGATATTCTATTTCACATTGATTTTTCCCAGTCTCACTTGACGTTTAATACCTAGAATTATCATCTTAGACACCTTTTTTTTATAAGTTCGATCCAGATTTCTCTGCTTCACCTCTGCCTTCAACGCAGTTAGAAATACCTTATGCTCAGCTTTCTGAGCCCGCTTTTTAGCATTTTGTGCACGACGTAATTGCATTTCTGCTTTCTCAACCTCCGCATCCTCTCTTCTTTTTACCATTTGTCGTGCTTCAGAAGCATACAGGACACCTCCTTTTTGTACTTGTCTTTGACTTTGTGCTCTACGCCGGGCATTTCTAGCCTGCTCCACAGCCTGTGTATCTTCCAAGTGTTTCATTGCCAAAGCACCAGATTGTGCTTGGACTAATCCACCCTGGAGAACTTCCTTCAACTTACGCCGAAAGGTGGGCGATAAATCACCGGCGTCCATTTGTAGATCATCTCCAGCACGCTTTAGACTCGTAATCGTCAGAGGAATATCAGAGGATGATTTATTTGCTGGTGGTTCAATAGTTGGTTGTCGGGTAGAAATCGGGGCTTCACGTAACTTGCAGATTACAAGTTCGGGGTTCTAGGGAATGAGACCAGAGGAACGAAATGCGGATAGGATGGTTGATGATTTGAATGTTTGCTCTCGAATGGAGTGAATTTTGTCCAAA